AAAAACAAAGAAGAGAGACGGACTCACGACAGAAAAGCCGATCAGCTGATCATTAAGCAGTTTGATGATTGAAGTAGCAGCAAGAGAGAGAGAGAGAGAGAGGCAGTCGCTTCATATATCGGTTGTTAAGCTTAACGTGGGAATGCTTTACAAACATTCAGAGATGGACTTACACACTTGCTTTACTTCTCTCTGGGATCACTTTCTCAGAGATGAAATGGTGGTTTGGTAGCGAGGCTACAAATACATACAGCCGCTCTATCACGTGATGCATACTGCTGGAAGTGCTACGGTTATGAGCCGAGTTACGCCGTGTAGCAAGCTTTGTGAGGTGCTTTTTTGATATTTAATGGATCGGATTACATTTTTTATTTCTCGCCGATATCCGATCCAGTAATTTGGGTCAGTATCGGACCGATACCGATACGTGATATCGGATCGGTCCATCTCTAGTATGTACCCCCAAAAATGGGCTAAAATCGCCCCTGCTTGTCAAGTTTGCTCATTTTTATAAGACTTATTGCACACCATACCAAGCTATGCTAACTTTGGAATAACTTTTAAGTGCAAAAGGACCCCTATTTGGCATTGATTCATAGATTCAACTAAAGAAAAAAGTATTTCGAAGAAGGAATTGCATTTTTTGAGTGACGACCCCAACACTGGTTAAGTGTAATTACAACACTGGTTCATCCCTTAAGTTAGGTGCCTTGAAAGATTCACAAGGTATTGGTCAATTACAAATTCTAGCTTTGAAGCTAAATATAAAAAAATGAGGGTGGCTCAAGATTTTTGTCCAGTACTGAACTTGTACTCAAAGTTAAGAGTAGATAATAGTAAAGATATAAAATATTCACAAGGCATCTTTACCCTTAAGAGAGTTCATAAGGTGAGAAACTGAGGTGAGGAGTAGGGAGAAATATTTTTAAGAGGCCCCAAGATATTTAAGTTTTAAACAGATGAGAAAATGATATAAAGTGTAGTAATTCCAGAGTGCGTGCACACTCACAATGACAATTTTTGGGGTATTAAAATATTGGCCATTTGCATAATCCAGTTAATTCATATACTCATTTCATTTCTTTTCTGTGTTTGTGTTGCAGTAGAGAGAGCCAGTGGTCAAATCGTCATATTTAGGGTGCATTAATTGATTCAGGGGATCAATCAGCCACGACAGTTGGATTGTTTAAATAGCCACTCAGCTCCAACTGATATACAAGCTTAATAATAAAAGAAAAGAAATGAGAAAAAAAACAGACAGAAGCTACAGTAGCAACGTAAAATCTTTCAGCATCTCTGTCACATAATAATGATCTGTGCCCTGCACATCAAGGTGTCGTTTTCATTTGGGAAAAAAACCCCACCCTGGATAAAGTATCTTTTGACTGCTCGCAACACATAAGCAGAGAAGCGAGCTCTTTCTTCTCCATAGTACCAAACCAAAATTTATAAGGCAGTGGTGGACATTTTTATTTCGTTAGTTTCTAAGCATATTCAAATGCAAAATGTTAAACCATATTACAACATTCATCACTAAGAAGTTGCTTGGAGTCAAATAGGATGCTTCATTTTTTTTTTTTTTTTTTTTTGCCTGTCCCGTTTTGCTCTTTTGCTATCAGAATTATTGTCAAAAGGCGAAGAAAGATGCCCAACACATTTACTTTACCAAATGGACCATCCCAGCGTTGCCGTAATGGTCCATTTGATTCACCTTTTATTGTTTATTTTATTTTATTTTCACTTGCTAAATACGGGACAGACTTGACTGGGGAAAAGAAAGGGGAGAAAGAAAGAGGGAAAGAAAAACAGCGGGGAAGAGGGACGGGGATAAAGGGCAAAAAACAAAAACCAACAAAATAAGCAGACAAAAAATACATATATCAATCACCTGGATCACCTGTTGAGAAAATACTAAATATTAAACATTATTGTGCAGCACGTAAGATCGACAGCGCACAGTGTGCTTTGAGGTAGGAGCCAAAAAGGGTGTCGTTTGTGTGTGTGTGTGTACACCTGTGAGCATGTGAGCGCGCTTGTATTAAAAGGTTCCTTCATGTAATGATCTGCTAGAGGGTGTGGGGAGCCACAGCCCCGTCCTCCAGGGCATGAAGCAGGTATGGAGGAGATCAAAACTCCAGACATCCAGAGGCCCCCAGAACACAAGAGACCAAGGAAGACCAACAGAGGGGCAGCCGCGCCACTGTCCCAGAAAGAGCTGAGGAGAGTCCCAGATGAGGGCTCACTCAGCAGCCGCGGAGCAGAAGCCAGGGGGGTTGCAGTGACGCGCCCGTGAGCTCCGCCGGCAGCCAGCTGTGCCAGAGTGACCGAGCCCCAGGCCGAGAGGCTGAGGGCACCCCCTTGGGGCCCAAGCGAGCCCCAGGCCCCGACAAGCAGCCACCAGGAGTGAGCCGGTGTGTACCTGGACGCCCATCCCCGGACACAAAGAACCACCAATGCACCGATGTCTGAGGGCGTCTGCCACTGGCAGGGGGAGTGGGATGCTTTATATGGAAGAACAAGAGACACACTGGGTGCCTCAGCCAGCCCCTGTACCACAGTACTCTGATGCTTGCCAAAAAACACCTCTTTCCCTGGAG